ACTTATCTCATGATTTTGAGCCTTTTTAGAAGTTAGAGCATTAGGAAAAGTGCTTATGTAAATGCTTGTTTGTTTAGTACTGATAATCAGTCTCCCAGAAAGCCAAAGTAAGTTCCAGATGCTTACACTATATTCCGGCCACCATATTGGTGTACCACGGATGTACTACCATGGCGTTTTCTTTCTGGGCTCTGTAAATTTCTGGGAAACATTTATGACAAATATCTGAAGTTTGGGGAAACGCACAGGCCCAAAAATTGGAGAAGAGTCTTATTTAGCTATCTTCTATAGCATACATCACAATTTCTTAGCTTTTTCCATTGGTTGGTTTTTGATTTATTATTTTTTTTATTGCATGACAATGAAAACGATCTGTTTTTTTGAAGAACAAAACAGCAACTGTGGAACATTTTTTTTGTAAAATGATAGAATGTTTTTTTTAGTTCATAATTCTTGTACATGTTCTCACCTTCCTCTGATATAAATCCATGCCATTCCTTATTTTTTGATCCGGATCATTTGCGGTCCAATATGGGGATCATTTCCGCCCCGGGATCATTTGCGGTTCAATTTGGGGATCATTTGTGGTCCGGGATCATTTGCGGTCCTGGGATCATTTGCGGACCCGTACAGTATCCTCTTTATCCAATTGCATGTTGTTTGCCTCATCTTCCAAGTTCTGCTTACGACGATTCTTTAATTTTTCAACATCCGAGTTGTTCCTCTCAGCATCATGATTTGATTTTTGTCTGTGTTTTTGTAGTTTGAACTCGTAAATGGCTCCTTTGTTATCTTGTGAGAACGAGCATGAACTTTGCTTATCCGGCAGGCTGTCAAGTAATATAATTTGTGGGCCAACCCATTCCAAAAATGATTGACATCTTCTTTGAGTCTTTTCCAAACTTTCCTCACAAATCACAGCATTCTCACAAAGAGCAAGAGCTGTCGCATTTTCATCCCCAGTTTCCTTGCACCACGCTAGGAACGCCTGGGACAATGACCCCCCATTTGGCAACCAAATATGACGACGACAACAACGACGAACGGCTTGCATTTTTAGACTTAGGCTTTTCTACGGAAGCCTGAGTTAAAACTACCCAGTAGCTTTTGTCATGCCCTTTGCCTATCTACCATAAAAATATGAGCGAAATCAAATTTTTCACCCTTATCGCAAAATTAAGAATTTGTCTGATTATTTACAGGCAGGCACTCTTAAGTGGTATCTTTTAGAGGTCTAATGAAGCTCGAGCAACGTCCACATTAGTCTCCCTTAGGAGTTAAATTCATATTTTCCGATGAGCATCCCTTGCCTTTTCATACGGGAGTTACCACCCCTTCCCCCCCCCCCCCCCNAGGAAGTGAAGGAGTGAAGGAGTGATGGAGTGAAATCGTTCCACCACTACAACTTGGAAAATAATATTTTCCAAGTTTAAAAACGACCCAGAAATTTCAAATTTTCATCCAAGAATCACTGCTTCTAACTTGTGTTGTTTACTTTCCATTCTTTGTAATCCTGCCATCAAGAACTCTCCACACCAATAAAATAAACAAATTATAGCAGGAAAATGCTTTGAATTATGACTACAAATCACAAACAATCAGCAAAAACGTCCTTAGGACTCCATCTCATTCACCCTGACAATCAGCCAGAGAGCATGACACACACACATAAATTGCTGACCCACATTACAATATAACCTTGGAATCAGCTCCAAAATGATTCATATTCCTCTGATAGCAAACTACCCTTAAATTTACAAACAAATTGTTTATGTGATTTTAGACATGTACCACGGGAAATAACGCACGAGTTTTTTTTTTTCGATTTTAACCAGCTGTTTATTGTAATTAAAATATATCGCTATTCCACCTGCACTTGAAATAAGCAGTGCAAGAAATCCAATCACTTTTTTCTCGGATTCGCAAAATATATAAGTAAAAAAAATGGAATTACCATTGTGACATGAACAAAGAGGTTTGCAAAGCCGGCACACTATTTTCTAAGTAGAGAAAACTCCAAGGTTTCAAGTAGGCTCTTTTACAATACACTTGCCATGAGCTCGAGCATCACGTTTTCTACACACTGTAAACACAGATCATAAATTATTTACGCTACGAGACATGATGGGAAGCCGCTAGCTTCCACGGCACTGCAAAATATCGCAAAACACATAACAACACGGGAATAAACCAAAAGCGAAAATTAAAAACGTGCTTACCAATCTCGTAAGATTCGTATCATTGCTATTCATGGCTGCGCTTGATATTAGATGGATAGCAGGAAGAAGACAACCTCCGAAAACAGCAATTCTCATCCTTACTGGTAACATGGTGTAAGTCATATAAACGAAGAAGGCTGCCAGCCATACGCCATCCGACGGTGAATAAAGGCTTTTAACATGACTAGGATCCGCAAATTCCCATGGTGGACAAACTACCGCAGCTAGTACAAATCCACATGAGATGGCAAGTAAAATATACGAGACCCAGTTCAAATGGCTCTGAGATGAACCACTTCTGTTCACAATCAAAGCAAGCAAGATGTACGCAACGGCGAATATACACAGAGTGATGCCTTCGGCATTGGTTTTCGCTGGCATTTTATTTTCCATACCGAACTGCAACCCTATTAGAATAAAAGTCAAAATAAGTAGCAGCCCAATGAGCCAGCTCATAAACTTCTGGTTCAAGCGAAACACGTAACGCTGATACAGGCCCTCGAGCTTTTCCGATTCGAATCGCTTTGACTTGAAAACCCGCGTAAATAATGTCCAGTCACCACAACAGGAATCCTCGCATATATGTTCACCTTTCAAAGCTTCAGGATCCCTCAAACCAAACTGTTTTCCATTTTTAACGTTAACGTCTGGAAATCCATTCGTTACATTATCCTTCTGAGAAATTTCATTTTTGCTGGTTCTAATGTTAGCATTTTCTTCAACACCAACTTCCACCGACCTAAGTCGAACTTCGGCCGATCCGTTGCTTTCCATGCTAGTCAATGTCTTTTGTCCTTCACTGGCAGTCCTTTTCGGAGACGCAGGCTTATTTCTGTCAGTTACATTCTTGTTTAGGTCGCTTTGTGAAGCGCTTATCTGTGGTTTCCCTTCTGTTTCCTCCTCCCAAGCTCTTCTCGATGGTGTCGAAGACCTTCTGTTGAAAGCAGTAGAGTCAGACTGAGCTGACATGTTCACCGACTGAATAATAAATTTACGGGCCTAGTTTGGCGTTCACGGTAAGCTAATGTGGCCCCTTTCATGAAAATTCTTTTAACACTAAGTCTCAAAAATTACTGAGGACCGTAGCAACCGAATTCTAAAACTTGTCGGGTTCACAGGGCACCAAAACAAGTGAACAACCTTTCGCCATTATTCGCGCTCTGGTGTAACAGAACGGTAAATCTGTTTCACAAAGTGCGTCAAAAGAGTTTTTGTTTCGTTTTTAACACCGCATCTATGCCTCTGGGTATTTTTGGAGCCACTAAATTCTCGTGTAAGAGATAAGCTGCACCTTCGTCAAACCAAAAGGACGAGAGGGTCTGAGAGATGGACTTGTTTTGTCCACGTGATCGGTCTGGCCTTTCTGATTGGATAGGTTCTATTCGTTCTAATTTATGGTAAAACACCAAAAAAATGTGGGGATTATTTATGCTTTCTCTGAGTGTCACTCTACTTCATGGAATTCCCTGTTCTCTTTGGTTAGGCAATCAGATGGGAACGTCAAATGTCATATGTAAAAGTGGCGGATATCATAACGACAATGTATGGTCGTAAAAGCAATTTTCAGAAAGGAAACAACATTTTTCGTTTTACAAAACATGTTTCGACATTCCTGTCATCTTCAGTTGCAAATATTCGACGGTTGTACATTTGAATTTTCACCGTATACGTGATTACGTTATAGAATTACGCCATAAGATCAGTTACGTTAACAATATTCAAGTATTCAATATTCCAATATTCAAATTGTTAACGTGACTGATCTTATGGCGTAATTCTATAACGTAATCATGTATACAGTGAAAATTCAAATGTGCAACCGTCGAACATTTGCAACTGAAGATGACATAGGAATGTCGAAACATGTTTTGTAAAATGAAAAATGTTGTCTCCTTTTTGATAATAGGAGACTTTAGATTTGAGTACCAGTACGAGATGAAGTACGAGAACGACTTTTCAATTCCAGTTTGCAGGCTTCGCATCATCAAATCACATACCCATCTCATTTCACGAGCTACCATCTCTGCCTAAAACCAGCATGAAGAGTGAGGGCTCTAGAAACGTCACTGGTTTGAAATTCGGAAATCGTACTCGTACTCAATCTCGTACTCGTAGTCCAATCTAAGAGGGTGGTAAAGGGTATTTTCGTGACCCGTGATCGGCCCTTTTTATTTCCTGTGGATCGTGATTTCCATAGTCGCCGTGAACCGTGATTTTTCACAACGTTCTCTTTTATTTTCCGTGAAGCGTAAAATGCCAATGTTGTGTTTTTCGTGAATTGTGAAAGAGCTACTTTATTTTCCGTGAAACGTGATCCATCCCCCCCCCCCCCTTTACCACCCTCTTATAATCCTACATAGAATCATTGTGTCAAATTGTGTTTTGTTCTTGGGCACGACACTTGTCTCTCACAGTAGCAAATTTCGCCACTCAGAGGTACTGACGAAGAATACGCGGGTAACAGACGTAATACCATTTAGCCGTTCATGGTACAGACCGAAGTTAAAGCGGTTTAACTTCCTTATAATTTACTGTTCCGTACATGGCGTACTTTTTCCAGACTATTATCCAGGACCTGTCCAGGTGGGTCACCGCTGACCAGCAACTCGAACGCTTGGAAAGCCAAACCATAAGTTTATGTCAAAAACCGACCGGAAAACTTGTTCCTAAAAGGTGTTTTTATTCCGATCATGGCTTACGTCACAAGAGCAAGAACGAAAATATCTCATTCTCTTCTTCATGGTTCCGCTGGTCGTAGTGTTCTGTCAAAGAAAGGACAAGAGCTAAGAACTCTTCCATCATTGAGCACTTTGTCGTCCAGTGTCAACAGTCACGCTGCAAAAGAGACTATCAAGACAATATCAGATATCCCAGGACCTATCAGCCTTCCCATCNTAAAGGTTCCTAAATATGACATCCTAGAAAACTGGCATTGACAAATTTACTCCAGACCATCTTTTTCCAGCTAGAGACCCGATTATCAACCCCCTTATAACAAAATCTCATCTGAAAAAGATGGCCCAGGCTTGTTTTTGAAGAAGAAAATAGTTTCCTCTTAGCTGGGATCGTTGCGCTAATCACAGAACCACTGAATACCACTATTTGAATTTCAGTTCACGCTGCTGAAGGTTTTCATGTAAACTTAATTCGCAGTTTCATTGTGTATCATTGCATTATATTAACATAACTGTAAATACGAGTGTGTACCCTTCGAACTACCTTCCAACCAATGTACGGACTGTCTAGCAGCGGATTTTCAAGGAATAAAAAAGCTCTAGTTGCTCAGTTGTGGTTTTACTTTATCATTCCTTGTCTGTTTTGAGCGAGCGACTGAGAAGGGTTTGTTTATCCTGTAACAAAGTAAAACACCTGCATAACATAACTGGTTTCACAGAGGACATGAAAGGAATAAAGTAAAACATTAGTTCTTTGTAACTGATACTGATTAAAATCAGTGCATGCGAAATGATAAAACTAATCACGAACCGGCCTTACTGGATTTACCAAAACTAACACCTTATGGGTTGAAGCTCTTTAAGAACGACTTCCCGTGAAAGCCGTAAAAGAAAACTATATCATAAATCAGTAAGGTTTTCTTGGTCGTAAATGATGCAAAACGAACTTCGAAAAAATAATACCATGAGCAGTGAACTGAAGGTGATTCCGGAATACGTTGTTCGTTGTTTCATGTTGACTTGTTGCTTTAAGAAAGGATAGAGACCATTTCGAAATCCCCTTCAGTTATCGAAAACGGAGAAAAAGTAGAGATAGGACGAAAATTACCATATTTATTCAACGCAAAACAAGAACGTATTGTCTATTAGCGTCTGTTAGAAATGCAACCCAAATGTAAAGTTCTCTGTTTTCTCGGAACAACTTTTAGTTTCACTGCCTTCATTTATTGCCTATTAAATGAACTATGTTCGAAAAGCTAAGGTCATTTAAATTAGAATATGCTTAAAGACAACCGTTTCTAAACAATCCGTCACGTTAGCTCAATCAGAATAATAATGAACAAAGTGTCGTTCAAACTTACGAACGTTCTATAAGCAAATACTCAAACTTTGACCGCCAGAAACCTAGAGCAAGTCTCTCAGCTGCCCTTTCCTATCATTGCCAAGTATGTAAACTTTTTGCCCGAATATTATCACGAAGACCTAAGAGGACGACTGCGTGATTTTCGATGTCCTTTCACGGTTCATGCTCGACTGTTTTAAGACTGCGAATCTCAGGAGATTCCGTTATAATTGATTTACTGGTGAAAAATAACCATAAACACAGAAAAAGAGGACAAAAAGTTAAAACGCGCAGTAATGACTAGAGCACATTTTCACACTGTCAGCGGGGCACCTCCTGAGCTGGGCCTGACACACTGACCGTCCAAAAAATCATTTCTCAAAATTTCGTCGAAAACTTATCAGTAAAGTAGCTATTATTAGTGAAAGTGTTGCGGTGGGTCTACAGGTTAAAACGGAAACGGAATACTAAAAATTGCTACTCAGAACTAAGAAAAACGTTCAGTATAACTGGAGATGACTTTTTTTTTCGGCCGGGAGTGTAGCCTGCGTAGCTTGGCGGTTTAAGCATTCTTTTAAGCTATTTCTTAAAAGTAAACAACATTTTTCATTTTACAAAACGTGTTTCGACATTCCTGTCATCTTCAGTTGCAAATGTTCCACGGTTGTACACTTGAGTTTTCACTGTATACATGATTAAGTTATAGGTATACGCCATAAGATTTACGTTAACAATTTGAATATTGGAATACACTGGGAACAAAGGCTGCGCGCGCGCCAACAGTAGTTGAAACAAAATCAACAAATTAAATAAAATAAACAAAACATGAAAAAGAATTAAAAAGAAAGAGGCAAATCTAAGTGTCTCAGCTGTTGGTTTAGAGTTCGAATGATGAAGCGTACTCGTTGTCGATAAGTGTACAGACCACGCTAAACCACATTCGATTTGTTAAGCAGAGCATGAGTCACGACAAGTCCCTGATGACTGCAAGTGCTTGTAAACATGCGAAACCTTGTCCAGCACAAGGTGCTCGCGGACACGTGTACAAATGTGGCGAGTGGTCTCACCAATGCAGCAGGCATTACAGGCAGCACATGTGAATTTATAAACGACACGCGAACTGAGACTCTGCGGCACGGAATCTTTCTCGTTGAACAATGTAGATGTAAATCAGTTTTGTAATAACGTTTAAGCAGCTGTCTTAATTAATATGCGCAACTTTAGAAAAACGGCCAACATAGGGGAGTTAGTAGAAATGTGTAGAAGTTCCATCAGAGCTGAGCGGGCCAGTCCGCACATTTTGCAGGATTGAGATTCATTTTCTTAGAAACATAGCTATGAATAATTTTGTCAATAACCCAGATGGGAAAAAAATTTTTCCGTAAAATCATCTTCATCACGGTTTTTTAAGCAATTTGAGCTTCGCCACTTTCTTTGCACGCTCGAATTGCTTAAAAACCGCCGAGCTACGCTGGTTACCGGGAGTGCAAATCAGTTAAATTCTTGCCCAGATCAAATATAATTTTACCTGAATATACCTTTGTGATGGTGAACTAGTTTAGTCTGTTTGACTCTTCCATAAGAAATGAATATGAAAATGTACCGTACAAATAAAGTCGTGTAAAGTAAAAGTGCTTGCGCGAAGTTTGTGAACATACAATGCTACAATTGGTTTTGGCCACCTACAGCGGTGCTCAGTACAGTGTGTAACGATGGAAAGAGGTTTGTCGAGTACCCCAAACCAATATGTCTTTGAATGTTTTAATTTGTCCAAAAATCACGAAAGTCTATTTTTGGTTCACAGGTTCTAAATCAAATGCATATTTTATTTGCAGATATTATTTCACCATTTTATGTAGTTGACCCTTTTATAACAGAAACCAAAGCCAAAAGTATTTTAAAATGCGCCTGAAGATATAGATGAAAAAGAGAGCCGTCTGCCCGGGTACCACATACATATCGTTGTGTCCGTATTCTGTTCTTTAAATATAGTCGACCTTCTACTGTGCATGTAATTAGATTGGTATATTTCGCTCCCTCTTTTTCAATTGAAACAAATCAAATTGCTAAACACCTGGGCCATAGCACAAGGTGGCGGAGCCAATAATTTCATTTGACTGATCGGGTCTTCGTTATGATTTGCCGTAATTTGAGTTAGATGTGGAGAGAATGGAAAACCATTCCAAGTGATTTGTCTATTCCGTTTTCAATTACACACTTGATCTAACATGCTTCTTATCTTATTTCTTTCAACAAAAAAATGAGAAGCAATCTAAGCAGGGTGTGGGAGGCACATTAAAACTGTAATTAC